AATTAATAAGTTTTAGATGTTTCTTCTTTCTTTAATCGTAAGGTTGGAAGATTCTTTTTATACTATCTGAATTATAATAGTATTTGTACATTAACTTATTAACTTCATTGATCAGAGATTAACACAATAATTTACAAAAAAAAAAAAAAAAGTTAAAAGGAAAATATAAAAGGGGAAGAGAGCATTTTAATTCTCCTTATTTATTATTTGCATTTTGACAGTGCCCATATGGATCATATATTACGTAAATTTATGCAAAATTTGCATCTGAATCAACCAGCAGTGTCCATAAAGCGTGCACATCTTCACAAGAACACGACTTCACGTCTTCATAGAGAATGTATATTCCCCCACCTATGAACAGAAACAAAAATATTATGAAGTAATGGCGATCAATTCGAATAGAAATAATCGAGACTTTAGTATTATTGGTACGTCGTAGTGAACACAACTGAACAAGTACCAACTAGATCCATATAGATGGGCTTGGTCGGAACATTTTACACCTCTAGTACCATACCAAACACGTGCTTAAACGATAAACAAGGAAGCAATTATGAAAAAAGAATGAACATAAGCAATTGAAAGTTTAAACATGTAAACAGATAATCAAGAAGATAGGAATGGATTGAAAAATACGGTTTCTTTTGGTAGCACGAAGCTGGCGCCAGAATTTCTTCAATGGGGGAAAGATGGAGTGAAGCCACCCCATTAGAAGAAGGGGAATTTGGTTCAAAGTAGGTGAAGTTTGGAAGGAAAATTTTCAAGGGTTTAAGAATTCATTTTCTTTAGACAATGGAAAATCCCATATTGTTTTTGCATGCATTCATTCACTAATCTTGCAGACAACATATAGCAGTGAAAACATTCTCTTGGTGTGATGTCATTATCAAAACACAATTTTCCTTCTTGTAGACAAGCTTGACTTTCACTCCTCGATTGTTGGGTCTTACAGTCGAGAGCCATTTTTCGTGGTTCGAGAAAGTCTTTGCACACCTCTATTACCATTCAAAGATCCACGCCTGGTAGAATCTACCTTAAAACTGTTTTTTGACATGTTAGTTTTGAGACAACGTGGATTCTAGTTCTCTCAAAGTAGTATTTAAACGATTAGAGATGTCAGAAGAGAAATGTCTTTGATGTTATTCATTCTATATAAGAGTAACAAAATATAAAAAGAAACACGAATAGCTGGTCTTGCTAATAGGTCATGTCGAAACTAACATTTTCTAGACGTGCGTAGCCACTATGCCTCAATGGGTTAGGATAAAGTCGTCCATCCTGATCAATACATTTATACTAGATTAAATAATATTAGAAATGATTAATTATGCCCTACTTTTTTTCACTCTACTCACATTCCCTTTTATCCCAAGTAAGAGATTGGTCATTTAGCTTTGTTTTATCTGTGTTGGGTAAAGAAGTCTGAAAATTGTTGAACAAGGCTCTGTTGCTGCTATCTATGACATTTGTTTTTTTTTCCCACTCAAATATGGGCAGTGGTTGAGGTGCATAGCATTGCAAGTAAAGCCCAAAGGGCTTCTTCTTCAAGTCTCCTTCCTAGACCAAGAAGATAATGCATTAATTTTCTTTCAATAATATGATCTTTGCATAATTAATTATTTATCTAATAGTAATTCATCTGGAAGCATGTTTAGTTGTGCTTAAAAGTAAGTCATAACTTATTTTGACTAACATAATTGAAATTTCGGGATATTTTTTTTACTATCAGAAGTTACTTGATGAAATGTAAGTCATAACTTCAAAAAAAATAACTTGCATCAATATAAGTAAAAGATAAAGATCCTTCTTTCTTGTAACACATGAAGCGAGTATAAATTTCTTAATCACGCCCATATACTTGAAACTAACGCTAGACTCTAGTTATTAAATCCGAACCGCCCAGTCCAATCTGGGTGAATTGATTCAACAAGTAAGCAAGGGAACTGGTCAAAACCGGTTAAATTACTTAAAACGGTTTTATGGGGAAACCGGTACCGGATCAATGCCTACCACAGTGCAATGTAAAATTCAAAGTTCAACTTGCATGGTATGGATTTGAACCTTGGCTTTTAGCAAGGAATTTCACTTCATTTACATTATGGAAACTTGTGAATCTTTGACATGCAATATGAGCAATATATATATATTTGATTAGCGAAACAGTATCCTTTTTTTTTATTTCAAAAATATATTTTAATTAAAATTAAAGCCAAACAATGATCCACCAGTTGAACCACCGATTTAAACTACTAACCCAATGATCCGATAATTTTTTCAGGTCGACTACCGGTTCGAATGTAATAACTAGTGGCTATATATGTTTGGTTCATTTGTTACTACCCTTTTGGCTTCATTATGGAGCTCGAATAAAGATTTTTTATTTTTTTGTCACAATGATCAAAATTAGGATGTGAAAGTACTTGACAATACAATTGACAAATTTTATCACACGTCTCTTCCCTTTACTCCAATCGAATCGCGTACCAAACATATTCATAGATCCTACACGAATAATAAAATTTGTTGCCATGTGAAGAATAATGATTTCTCATGTTTGTGCAGTGCCACAGACTACTTTTCTCTCAATGAATGAGTTTTTCCTTTTGAAGATCTCTCACATGGGGTGCAGGTTTGTGGGCCATTCATAGACAGAATCTTAAGGTCACAATTGATTTGGCCTTGATGGATGCTATCTTCACCATTTGGCCAAGTGGGTTCCATTGTATATTTTGTGTTGGCCGCTTGCATAACAAATGTAAAATGCAAAGATATAGAAGTTGCACTTGCCATTGGTGTCCTTCCAAATATGAACTATACACTATAGCTGAAAAGCACTAGTGGAGGTTGTAAAGCAACACTCCATTGGCCGTATTTGTTAGCATCATGACCAATATCTAAGCGGTTTAGTTGCCTTTTTACTCGAAGGTGCTCGAGTTTTATTGGAATCAAAAGTGATTAACATCTTCAACTTGAACCTTGTTGTGTAGTTGCACACGTAGTTGTTAAAGTCTACTTTGATTTCGAGAATTGATTCCCATTTAAATGAAGTTTTCATGTCACTTTGATTTTACTAGTCTTTCTTTGCATTTTTTAAGTAATCAATTGTTGACCTTTGTAAAGTATGTTAACGGTGATCTTGTAGTATAATTTTAATATTTATAGTTGTTAATTTATCATTAAGAATATTTGAGTTTTTTCTATGTCTTAATATATTAAATAATTAATATTTAATAGAATCTTACAATCCTTGATTTAGGGATGGCAAAAAAGCTCACCGGTTCAGGCTCGATTCCACCGAGCCCCATTTTGGGGCGTCACTCGAGCCCTGCCCATGTTTTAAGAAAAAAAAAAGTTAAAAAATAAATAAAATAATTTTACACAGGCATTGTCACAGCTGCCTGCGTTTTGCAAGCAGCTGTCACGAAAAAAATAATAATAATAAAAAAAATCGAGCCGATCAACTTGGCTAGTAAAGGCGCGAGCCGAAAGCTCAGGTTGAACCTAAAATTTTTGGCCAAGCTTTTGCTCGGTTCGGGCCGAAAAAAGTTCGGACTTGTTTTGCTTGAGCCGAGCCGAGCCCGAGCTTTGAGTTTNTGCTTGAGCCGAGCCCGAGCTTTGAGTTTCAGCTCGTGGCTCGGCTCATTGACATGACTACCTTGATTTGATCCATCGATCCGATTCAAAATAATAGTCCTAACAACCTTGGTTATATGTATAAGATTAATAAAAAATCCAATACAATGAATAGAATTTTAACTTCATTTTTTCTTTTTTTAATATTGTCTTGTAATGTCGAGATCAGAGTCAAATATAATGGCCCACGAGTAATCAAGAGATTCGTGATATACATTGTAGTGAAACATATGTGAGTGCTAATATAAGATGGATTTGAATCGGGGGATTTTATTCCATTGATGTATGCTTTTCTCATCCTTGATGGCCCTAGTCTCAAGGCTATTTAAAGGAGAAAAGCCTTGGATCCAATCTTTGGATAGCCCTTTAGTTTTATGATTTTTAGTGCCATGAGGTGAGTCTAAACTCTAAACCCATGCTAGGTTTTTATTCGATTGGAAAGTGACTAGATTCCATTGCCTGGTTGTTCTATGCTTTATTGATTTCTTTTTTATGGGTAGACTCCTATGTGATAAAGAGTCCTATGATATCACATATATAGGGTATGTCTGTATCACCATGAGCTTTGTCTTGACTGTGTACCAAATTTTTGACCTCAAATTTCTATATTTCGAAGGTAAGATTTCGTAACCCCTTCCCCCTTGCACCCACTCCCCTCCCCTCCCCAAAAAAAGTGTAAATAAGTGGAAAAATACTTGTGAGTCCATTGAAATATGTAATTGAATTTGAAGTTTGATCATTTACAAATTATTTATAAACTATCCAAATAATTGTTTGATTTAATTTTAATCCAATACTTCGTATGATCTACAAATAGTATCCACTAGTGTGTATAGTAGAAGATACAATAAGTTAAAAAATGGTGGAATTCTGTCAATTCACTTTGAAAAGCAAACTATGTTATCATCGTCACCACATTTTAGAAGAAAGGACAAGAAGGGTGCTCACTTTAACATTTCTTACACCTTTTCTTGCTTATCTTAAGTGGGTCATCAAATCTCCAAATACTCGATCACTTTAATCTCTTTGTATATTTATGAAAAGATACATATTCTTTTATATTTTATCTTTTAATGATTGTACTCTCACACGTACGTATTCTCAAATACAGGTATTGATCATTTCATTGTGAATCGACTGAAGACTAAGTCCATTCATCTATCGAGATCTTTAGGCCAGGCGCTTCTACAATTTCCATAACCCATTTCAATTATTTCTATACTTTTTCGTTTTTGCTTTATAGGATATATAAGAGGTGGGGGAGGGAGGAATATTTGGGTTTTAAAAAAAAGGAATTAAACCACTCTATTTGATCTATATATATAAATATATATATGAAGAAAGATTATTATATGTGCACAAATTCACAGTACTCTTTCAAAGAGCACTTTGGCAATATGAAAATTTACAGTTCCAGGACTAGAATTGGCAACATAGTAGAAACTCCTAGCAACATCAAGAAATGTTTTCTTAATATTGGTATCAATGTCATCTGAGGATTTGGTAAGAACTAATTTTACTAGTTCTTGCATATCTGATTCTATTTCAACGGTTGTGATGTTTGCCATACCATTGATGCAACCATTTGTACCATGTACCTGTTCCACGTGATAATACTATGTCAAAACTTTGTTAGCCAAAAACCATGATAAGCTGGAGAGTATTGAACATGATTAAAGAAGAGTTATAAGTAAATTGACTTTCACCTTTTTGTTTTGATACAGACGAAGTTGGTGACAGACTCTATTGGTGATATCCGAGAGTCGATTATATTTAGGATGAGATAATAATAATTTCTCAGACGTCCAGCGACTATTGAGATCGCTAGTCAAGTTCAGTGTACGCACGAGTAGCTCTGCTTCTCCTTGGCCCATGTCACCTTCTTCCAAGCTCCACATCCACTTTTCCCACTAATGACAAAAGAGAATTGAATTTAAAAAAAAAACCCATTTAACAAATTTTTTTATGAGTTTGAATTTGAAAATGCATTAATTTAAAATAAGTTTGGATTCAAAACAAAGGACAAGTTTAAATCTGAGCTAAAGAAATCTAATAGGGAGAAGGGCTTACAGCATGATTCAGTTGTTGATGAATGTCTCTTCCATAAGCCAACAAGGTGTCCAATGAGAGCTGATTTAGGGTTCTCAGTAGAGTGGCTACCAGTCTGTGTCTTGTTCTGTACATTTTAATCAAAAACTTAGATTATAATTTAGGATAATTCTATTTGTACAGAATGGGGGTTACCGAAAATGTGCCACCCTCTCACATACGTGCGGGGCTCACGTGACTAAAGAACTCACAAATGTGTGATCTCCACACCCTATTGTGAGTGTAGGCAAAAAATTATGTAAAAAAATTGAGTGTATGTGTAGCCAACACTCAAGAGTTTACATCAATCATATACCATCACAATGTTTGTTTACCTAACACTGCTTTTCGCTTGCACATTGGCTCGATTTGTGCTGTGCAGCGAACTTACTCGTTTCTACAACTGGATTGTGATGAGTTTAGTTATAGTGACTAACCCACGAAGGCCTATATTTTTCAGGAGAAAAAGCAAAAAACTATACTTATTCATGAACGAAAATAGTATGGGACGCATTGGTCCCAATATTTTATTTTTTCAGTATGAGCAATGCTACTTGTACATAATTGTGTACAGGTTGATGATGTGGGGGTGGGGTCGGATTGGGGATGAGGGTGATTGAGTGATAGGCTTCGAGGATATGACCAAGAGTGTATGTGTACACGTGACCTTTTGAAGTTCAACTAAAATTAACTATTAGATACGCATGAAATGTTTTTCAGTAATTAGTAAAATTGAGGGAGAAAGACCACGGTAAATTTACCTCCTTCCATTTGCATAATCGAGGCTGTTTCGATGTAAAAACTCATCAATAAAGGTTTGTTTGTGATTAGGTTTCTGGCCAAAATGCGAAGCAATGGTCTCCATTAAAATGGTGGTTTTAGCCCAAGCTAGCCGCTCTTTCGACTTCTCCGGCTCAAAATAACTCGCAGCAGCCAAATAGTATGCTAGGAGAAGGTTTCTTTCGCTCATTCCATACTCTCCAATTTCGTATTTACTGTACCATCTGCAAAATAATACACGTCCGAATAATAACTTTTTTCGAGAAAAATTACTTATTTCAATATTAAATGGAAAAATGTTTACTTCTGAATGCTTCTCCACTCGAGCTGGTGCAATTCCTGGCAAGTATTGTAGTCCAACTTTGCTAGCTCAAGATACGTGTTGTTGTTAACGTATCCCATCCTAAAGATAAACAACACACATATGATAACAAATTATAAGCATAATTCTTACTTATCTTTAAGTTAATTTTTAACATAATAAAATAATTATATATATACTACCACTTTAATCATTATAACTAATAAAATAATTACATATACTACATCCTATGAAAATGAATGGTGTTGGAATTTAATGAATTATTTGTTTCTAGATTCTTATAATTTAATATTTATAATCGATTTTCGATAACGATTGATCTGAGTATAGTAAATTACAAGTGAAAGAAATTAGGCTCTGTTTGATAGGACATTATTTTCCATGAAAAATGGAAAATAAATTTCAACTTCAACTTTTACCTTGTTTTATACACTTTATTTTTTACGGAAAATTTTTTCCACATTTGGCTCACATGCTCACCAATTCTCACCATTTTGGTGGGAATTGATTTTCCATCTTTTTTTTAAAGTAATTGGAAAAAATTTTAGATACAATATTAAAAAAATTTATCACTTTTATTGATAATTTTCATACAAAATAAAGCCAAACGAATGTTATTCGATATGGTAAATTAAAATATTTTTTTTTTTGGCAAGTGAAACAAATTCTAGACCCAATGGTAAAGAAAATTATCACTTTAATGAACAATTTCCATGAAAAAGAAAATCAAACGAACACTAAACCTTCAACATTTTCAGGTGAAAAATTATACTAATCAAACACAATTAATTACAATTTTCAACAAAAAAATTTCTAGGCAATTCAATTTTCTAAAATTCATTTTTTTCCACCCATTTTTCCACATTTGCAATCAAACGGACCCTTAACGTTAAGACCAAAGAAACATTATTAACAAACGACAAAATTGAATCACAACGTGAATGTTGTAAATTTGATCATGTCATATGTTTTTGGCTCTATGTGCAATTTGCGTTTGATCGGCCAACTTCATACCTGATGACTCATATATAAGTTGTTTTAATTTTTGTCACATTTTTTGTATTTTTCTCTGATTAATAAAAAACTCGTTAGCAAATAAAGGAAACACACATTCAATTTATTTTTGTGAATATATACCTATATGTATCTCCCTACATAAACAAGTTCTCTTGCGTATTTCTTCTATTCAATTTATCGACAAATGAATTTATGTGAAGTACCTGTACAAGGTTTTGCCAATCCAGACATCGTCTTCACCACCGTATTGCTCCAAGTAAAATCTTGTTTCTATTCGAGGTAAGCTAGCGTACCATGGAACATCTAATGAATATCCTACCTGCACATTATTTGTCATCATCCCTCGTCGTACTAAAATGGCCCACATAAAAATAAAAAACTACATGACAAAATATTTAGCCCTTGATTGGTGATAAGAGCGTTTTTACACACTTATCTTACTGTCGAAACATGAAAATTTATTGATTAATGTGTTGAAATTTAGCTTAATTCTATGTAATTGATGTTTTGCAGGACAAGTAATGAACGTAGCGGAAATAAAGAGAAACAAGTGAAAAGGGACCAAAATGGAGGAAAATGAAAGTTCAGGGACCAAGTTGCAAATAATCCAAAGATGTGACGGGCGATGGAGTGAAGATTGAGGGTGTTAGAGATCAATCGGAAGAGGAAAGAAGTCAAAGGGATGAAATACAATCATAGCATGATCACACATCAATTTCCAATCGAAATGTTTTGCACCAGTTTTTAGCCTCATATTGAGACCTTTTTTGACATGGAAAACGATGGAATTCAAAGATGGAGCAAAGTTGTAGCCCTTTGAGTTAGCTTTCCAACGTCTTGAATCACCTCAATCGGATATCAAAAAAGAAAATTATGACCCAAAAACGCTGCAAGGCGTCCTCCTTTGCCTACAGGCGAGGAGCGAGCCTCACACCAAGGAAGTCTCAGTTGACTAAGGCTGTCAAAATCCTTAAGGCGCGAGCCCTAGTTTACACTAGGCACGTGCCTCAAGCGAAAACAGGGAGAAAAATTTAGTTTCCTTATATTTGTTTTGGTAATGTTTTAGGGCAAATTTGGAAGGATGGTAAAATGAAAAATTTCGTGACTTTGAAAGGGGAAGCCGTATTTTGAGCAAAAAAGGGTTTTCATATCACTTTTCCTCTCAATTCTTGCTCAAGAACTTCATGAAGAACTAGCAATCTTGGTTCAGTAAGAGAGGAACTCAATTGGATATGGTGATTTCATACATATTATTTCATGTAATTGGTCTTTTTCTGCTGAATAATCTTAGGATTTAGACTTTTCTTTTCATGAATTTATATTGAAATCGATTTAATAATTACTAGAGTTTTCATGGATTCAATCATGCTTTTTCCATTGTTTAATCAAACTATTTATTAAGTTTCAATTTCAATTACATATTGTTGAGANCTTATGCTTGATGTATATGGTCGATCTTTGATCTTGTTCCTATAAATTGTGCAATTATGTCATAAGTCTAGATTCTAGGATTACATTTATAAATTAAATTGATTTTCACGATATATCTTCCGATTAGAATGTCGGGAAGACAGCCTCTAATTGTGTTATAAAAATGGAATGATTGATGTGAATGATCCAATCCAATTGAGGGAATTCTAACGATTCACTTCCTCAAATTATTGATTTTAATTTCACCTTTCAACATTGAATTTCACTACACGTTTAAGACGATAACTCCTCCCTTTTTGGAGCTCTTAAGCATTTTCCATCTCTTTGTGGATACGACACCCTAAAATTGCACTAAAATTACCACGTTATTCTTTGGACTTGGATCAATTGGTCCCCATTATTTTCAAAATATATTTCTCTCTTATTTTCAATCACGTATTTTTCAATAAAATAATGTTACACATAAATCAAAAACTTTTTATTTTTATTTTTGAATTACACATTTTCCATCTAATCATTATTTTAGAACACATTTTTTGATCAAACAGCTCTTTAAATTACAAGTTGATAGTGTCATTTATTGGGTCCTAGGATTTGGACATGCTAGCTTTTGGCAAGTGGCATGTTGCAACACTCGTGTTTGTGTGCATATTTAAGGTACAATGCGTGTAATAAAATGAAGCTTTTTTATGCAACTTTGCTTTATTTTTATTTGAAGAAATAATTTTATTTTATTTTATATTTTTGAACAATAAAATCGAATTATTTCTTTCCATTAAAACTTTAGTAACAATTCTATTGCCTTGAAACAATATCTCATCTATCATGTCAAATCAAGAAAAATACCATTAAAAAAAAGTTAGTTTAAGAAACGTACTAAACTAGATTAAACGGTGAAATACATCATATTAAGCCTATGTTTGGTAGCCCTTTTTTTTTTTTGGTTTGAAAAAACATTAATTTGATTAGTAAATTTTCGGAGACAGAGACATTTACCTCTCCTGGTAGGTCTTTGGTTATAATCCATTTATCCAATAGCTCATTATTGGCTCTTTTTTCTTGTAAAAAATTGGCCGAGAATTGCTTTGCTTCTGCAAGTATAGGTTTTGCCAATCCAGACATCGTCTTCACCACCATATTGCCCCAAGTAAAATCTTGTTTCTATTCGAGGTAAGCTAGAGTACCACGGAACGTCTAATGAATATCCTACCTGCACATTATTTGGCATCATCCTACGTCACACTAAAATGACCCACATAAAAATAAAAAACTACAGGACAAAATATTTAGCCCTTGGTTGGTCCTCATTATTTTCAAAATATATATTTCTCTCTTATTTTTAACCACACATTTTTCAATAAAATAATATTACACATAAATCAAAAACTTTTCTTTATTTTTAAACAACACACTTTCTATCGAATCACTATTTTAAAATGCATTTTTGATCAAACAGCTTTAAATTACAAGTTGATTGTTGACAGTGTCATTTATTGGGCCATAGGATTTGGATATGCTAGCTTTTGGCAAGTGGCATGTTGCAACACTAACGTTTGTGCGCATATTTAAGGTACAATGTGTGTAATAAAATGAAGCTTTTTTATGCAACTTTGATTTATTTTTATTTGAAAAAATAATATTTATTTATTTATTTGAAATTTTGAACGATGAAATGGAATTATTTCTTTCCGTTAAAACTTTAGTAACAATTCTATTGCCTTGAAATGATATCTCAATATCTATCATGTCAAATCAAGAAAAGTACTATTGACGAAAGTTAGTTCAAGAAACGTACTCTATTTGTCAAAGGCACTTTGTTTGTCACGTGGTAGTAACTAGATTAAATAGTGAAATACATCATATCAAGCTTATGTTTGGTAGTCATTTTTTTTAAAATGTTGTTTTGAATAGTAAATTTTCGGAGAACGTGTGATTAAAAATTAGAGAAATATTTTTGGCTTACATGAAAAATATTTTATTTGTGTGAATGTATGATTGAAAATTAGTACGTAAAAAGGGAGTTTAGAAAAAATGGGGCTAAACTTCTTTTTTCTTATGTAATACCGTGTAGCCAAGCTAAAGGCATTTACCTCTCCTGGTAGGTCTTTGGTTATAATCCATTTATCCAGTAGCTCATTATTGCCTCTTTTTTCTTGCAAAAAATTGGCTGAGAATTGCTTTGCTTCTGCAAGTATGTTCTCTCCAGGAAACATCACCTGAGAAGCCCTATACAGATTATACATTCCTGTAACAGCCTGGTTCGACTGTCCAACAAAACAGAAGAACTCTCCACCATTCTCAAAGTGTTTGAATACATCTGTCATATATGTACTAATCAAACTTCGAGTACCAAAAGAAAGGATGATATAGAATGGACAAGATTTTCCAAGATTTGAAAGGGTTTTTAAGGCTGAGACTGCCTTTTTTTTTTCTGAACATGTTCGTACGTGTCTTATGAATCCAAGAAATATTGTTTACCTGCAGAAACTTCGTAACCGTGCAACCTCAGTAGTCTGAAACCCATTGCCGTGTCATCAATGTCTTGAACTTCAGAATTTCTTGCCCAGCAGATTCCTTTATTTGTCCAATACCTGAATTATTGTCGTTTAGTACTAACTAAAAGCCAGCATATGCAAATATATATATATATTTTTTTTGTTTAAGTTAATAATTTACTTAGAAAGTTGTACCTGTGAACATAGTCCATACATCCCTCAATTTCTTTCTGGAAAAATCGAGAAATTCCTAGTCGTTGCAACCTGTCTACAACCCAAATGTGCTCGAACAAGTCGACAGGATAGACATTGGGAACTAAAATTAAGAACAAAAATAAGTAAAAACATACAGAAAATATTTCAAAAATGAAAAAGTTAAACCAACCCAATATTTTACCTCCCCCATTTAATTTTTTGACAGCATTTGTTAGATATTTGAGGCAATTATCATCTTTGGTCTGCTGGAGTGCAAAGGCAGTGGAGGATGGTGAAAATAGAAATGACCCATCTGATGACTGTAATTTTAATAGCTTTTGCCACTCCAAGTCTGGCATTCCTTCCAGGCTATGGAGTATTGTTGTGGGCACCTTGTTCATTATGTCTTTTGGTATCCTATTGCACATACACAATCATTACATGCATATATAAGCAACTTTTGATACACATTACTCGATAATACACGTATTGAATAAGATTTTAACTTTTTTATCAAACTGACCCGTACTTACGTGTACCAATATATATATGTATATAAAGTATTCAACTTTCCACTTATTCTTATCTTTACATATATATAAATCTATGAAAGATAAGGTTGTAATAATTACTATTATTGGAGTTCTGAAAATACCTACCTTGTGAGCTTTAAATTTCTTCGGGCATAGATTTCTTTCAAGACTGGAGAATCATATGGGATATCAATTTCCAGCTTTTTGGCTATTTCTATAAGTGATGGAAATGCTAATTCGAACCCAATAGGCATATGCTCAGCATTTTCATCTTCAAACTTGTCCATATTTTCTCTGATAAATTTTATCCCTATATATCACACGAAAACCACGTAAAATCTCCGTACAAACACTATACATCTATTGGAACATAAGATCATGGCTCGTAAGACAATATCATATTGGAATATCTTAAAACGCCTCATCTAAATTCCATTAAAAATGGGGTCCGGTAACATTATGATAGTGGAGCATCTTGTTTAAAAGTTTAAGGTGATAAAAATGAGTGAGAGCCGTATTTATTTTGTCTTCAACAGAAGTTATAATGTATCATGATTACGTGTTCGAAACACTAGTCGTGCTCACTACTATGCATCAAGATCATATGATGATTAGATCCGTTTCGGATAAATTGATTATATGAAAAAATTGTGTTACCTTTTTCACTTTTGTCAGGGTGCATGGTCCATGATCTCAATGCAACAACACATGCTAATGTGTTAATTATCCTGTCATGAGCCGTAAAGGTGGCCATGTCACCCCATGAGCCATCATCGAGTTGGTGGTTCACAATCCAATCAAGGCTGCCAGGGAATTGGGGTGCGCCACTTCCACCAATATCTTCCACCAGAGCCACCCAA